ATATAGTGTAATGGTGGAAGTCTAAGAGGAATACTCTCAAAGTAGATGGTGGAACTAGTTATGCCTAACTGCTTGCTGTAGCATCCCTACAGCATTGTCCGTTGGAATTTGTGTTTATGTTTCACCAAAAGTTTTACACCCATGCTACCTTTATTCATTATGTAATTTGCAATTGTTAGCTCAAAACCAATCAGATTCTTCAAATTTGCCATCTAAAGTTAGTCTTTCAACTTGATATCTTACAACTTAAGATACCTATCCTTGTGGAATACGATACTTGGTTCTTACCATTTTACTACTTGAAGGCGATAGTGTTGACACATGTATACTTGCATGTGTTACCACTTAGTGTTGTAGAGATACAATATCTAGATCCTATCAACTTCACATTAAAAGTAGTAGACAGTTACAAAATTGCTCATTAATGATAATGGATAGTTATAAAACTGTTCTAACCGTTCCAGAGATAAAGCCAAAGATATGACGAACCAGAGCCCCTCTGGTCCTTAAGAACCAGAGCCCCTTTGGTTTTACCAACCGAATCCAAGTCTTAGCAATCATAAGCAAGGAACCAGAGCCCCTCTGGTCTTACATACCAGAGGCAAGTCTTAACAATCATAAGCAAGAAACCATAGCCCCTCTAGTCTTACCAACTAGAGGCAAGTCTTAGCAATCATAAGCAAGGAACCAGAGCCTCTGGTCTTACCAACCAGAGCTTCTGGTCCTTAAAAACCTGAGACAAGGAACCAGAGCCTCTGGTCTTACTAATCAGAACATTTTTGGTCCTTAACCAGAAGCAAGGCAGACCAGAGCCCCTCTGGACCTTAACAACCAAAGACAAGGAACCAGAGCCTCTGGTCTTACTAATCAGAACCTCTGGTCCTTAACAACTAGGATCAAGTTTGTCCTTATCATCCAAAGGCAAGGCCGACCAAATCCCCTCTGGTCTGGTCCCTAACAACTCTAGACAAAGAACTAGAGCCTCTATATAGTACATGCAGAGCCTCAGGCTCGCCTATATAGAGCTCTACATGAAGACATTTCTGGTCCGTCTCTGATCCCCCTCTGGTCCTTATGATCAATTTTTCACTACAATGCAAGGGGTGCAACCCCTTAAACTCCCACCAGGGTCATACTCATCTTATAAAAAGTGTGCACTCCACACCTTTTGGCTTGTATTAGAGCACAATATAAAACCCCCTTAGAACTCGATGTTACTTCCATTACACTTAAATAGCCTGGTGACACTAAAATCACCAACAATCCTCCCCATTTTAATGTAACCCATGGAATAACACTTTGAAATGAACAAACCAAACTTGTACATAAATGAAAATATCGAATCGATTGAATTTCCATGTTAGCATTTTACACATTTCAGATATTCGAGAATCAGGGTGTCTTAAGGATTGAACCCATCAACTCATTTGAATACCTAAAGATAAAATACATGCAAGTTTACAATACTCTTTCAACAAAATAAACTGACACTATTATAAAGTCGTGTGTTCTAATCCTCTCATGATTGTATAGAGGGCCCAGTCCCCTATACAATCCCTTTGTTATCCCTTTGTTATCCTGTTTAATTTTTAAACCAAGAATTACATCAGCCTCTCCCATGTATTTCATGGAAAAATTAGATGACAACAATTTCTTAGTTTCATCTACCTGATTTCGATCAGTTCCAAAAGTCAACATGTCATCTACATACAAGCAGATGATCACACCAGCTCCTTTAGCATCAAATATGCTATAAACACATTTGTCACATTAGTTTAAGGTAAAACCATATGACAAGATAACTTCATCAAACTTTTGATGCCATTTTTTAGGCGTTTGTTTCAGCCCGTACAATGATTTTACCAATTTACACACTTTATGCTCGTTTCCAGGCATAACGAAGCCTTCTGGCTGTTTCATGTAAAATTCCTCATAAAGATCACCATTCAAGAAGGCTGTCTTCACATCAAAATGATGGATAACCGGATTGTGTATTGCCGCCAAGGCGACTAACAATCTTTTAGTCGAGATATGTGCTACTGGAGCATACGTATCGAAATAGTCAATACCGGGTTTTTGCCGAAACCCTTGAATGACTAACCGGGCCTTGAATTTATCAATTGTCCCGTCCACTTTTATATTCTTTTTGAAGATCCATTTGCACCCAAGAGGTTTAGAACCTAGAGGCAAATCTAATAACACCCAGGTGTTATTTTGAAGAATTGATGACGTTTCGTTATCAATTGCTTCCTTCCAGAAGATGGCATCTCGAGATTCCATCGCTTCTTGGAAGGTCCTTGGGTCATCCTCAATACTGTAATAGTAAGAGTATTGAAGCTCAAGCTCATCCCTTGGCCTTGATTCTTCCACCAAATAGAATTGAAAATCAGGACCGAAATTTTTGGCAATTCAGCCTCGTTTGCTTATCCGGACCTGCTGTGTTTTGGGACTTGAAACACCATCCAAAATTTCTGGATTTTGCACTTTATCAGTGCTAGGATTCAAGTCTTTAGGCCTTTGCATTGATGAGAACCGCATCTCATCAAAAATCGCATCCCACGACTCGATAACAGTATTTATTGGTACCAGATCGTTAGGTTATATTACGTAGAACCTATAATACTTGGAATTTTCTGCATATCCAATGAATATACAATCAACTCCACGTTCACCCAAAGTCTTTCTTTTGGGTTCGGACAGTTTTACAACAGCTCGACAACCCCAAATTCGAAAATAAGTCAAATTCAGAGTTCTCTTGAACAAAAGTTCTTATGGGGTGGTTTTGTTCCGTTTGTTTGGAACTCTATTTAAAACATAATATGCCGTTAACATGACCTCTCCCCAAGATCCCTCACTCTATCCCGAGTAAGAAAGCATTGAGTTTACCATTTCCTTTGAAACTTAATTTTTACGTTCGGAAACCCCGTTTTGTTGGGGTGTGTAAGGTGTCGTTGTCTCATGAACAATACCAACTGAATGGAAAAATTGGGGATCCATATATTCTCCTCCTCGATCAGTTCTAAGACACTTAATTGAATTACCCAGTTGTAATTCAACCCCGGTTTTATAAATTATAAATATATCTAACACTTCGTCTTTGGCATTCCAAAGATAGACGTAGCAAAACCGAGTGTTGTCATCAATGAATGTGACAACATACCTCTTATTACCCAACGAAGGAGTAAAGTCAAAATCACACAGATCACTGTGTACAAGTTCCAAAATAGCCGATTTTCTTTCAACGTTTGGAAATGGCTACTTTATCACTTTCGTAAGCATGAAAGTCTTACATTTTTCCATAGAAATATCGAAGGTTGGAATCAATCCATCATTTGACATTTCATGCATTCTTCTAAAGTTTACATGACCCAATCTTGCATGCCAAATCATCGAGTCAATTTTAGAAGAAGAAGAAAACGACGATAAAAACGCAGAATTATTTGAACTTAAAAAATTTCTCACACATTTAAACAAAACATTTTATTATGAAAAATAACCGAAGCCAAGAAAACTATATCGAGATAGGATATACCTATCCGATTCATAACCTTGTTTATATCTAATGCTATTCATACAACCACCGCTAACCAAATTCTTACGAATTCTAGGAACAAATAAACCATCATTTAATCTAACATGATTACCAAAAGCGTAAAAACTTTGGACAGATGTATTTTTTGTCTCACAACAATACTTTTTACACATAATGTGAAGTAGAACGTAGATAATTAATACCATTGCCTCCCACCCTTTGCTGCTTAGAAAACCCAAGTCCTTTTTCGTAAAAACAATAAAAATATGGGAAATTGACCCAAATTGCCATATTCTATAAACAAATTGACCTCCTAACCAATTTTTCTTCGAACTTTATCTAAAAATCACTAGTTCCGTAATATCCAGGTCTGCAATTATTACGGACCCACTAAACGACAAAATTTTGATTAGAACCATGGAAGAAATCTCTTCAGTAGAGAACTGTTTCTCTGCGCCTCTGTAAGTGACGCCAATCATGGGTTTATTGCTGGCACCGGGAACAACCTTAAACGGCCAGTGCTTCATATCGTTCTGTACTGATGGATCAGAAAATCTCCTTCCAATTAATCGTTTGGCATCTGCAAACGACAAGTTTTTAGAGTTTTTGACCTAGGTCTTTAACCATAGGTCTGTAATTATTAAGGATCAACCACAAGGGTGGTGCCCGATTGATTTAAGCTTGAAGTCTAAATGTCAAAAGTGTCTGAAGGTCCCAGGTTTGAATCCAAGAATGAATAAGAAAATTCTTTTTGTGGTCATAGAGGTTCAAATGCGGGGAGCTACTAGCAAAGCAAGTGGTCGTCATGAGATTAATCGGTGCGCATAACAAGTTGAAAATCCAGGTTAATAATTTTTTTTTATTACAGATTCGGACCAAAACCCATTTTTCTTGAGTCCGTAATGCTAAATCTGTAAGTGTCCACCTACGTAGGAAAATGAGTTTTAGAACGGATCCATAATAGTTGTGGACCCATGGTTATGACATGGACCAAAAACGTTCATGTTTTTGTCGTTTAGTGGGTCTGTAATTAGGGGGTGTTTGAGATTGCTTATTTAAAACAACTTATTTTTTTTTTGTAAAAGTGTTTATTAACTTATGTGGTATTAAACCGGAGTTAAATAAAACATGGTTAAAATTGTAAACTGGTAATAAACAGTTTTTCATAAATCAGGAATGATTAACTTATCAAAAACAGTTCATTACTGGTTTGGCACCAGTATAAACAGTTTTTTTTCTTATCCAAACACCAAAAAAACAGCTTATCATCGATACCAAACTAAAATAAATTAAAAAACAGCTTTTATAAACCATCTCAAATAACTTTTAGACATTACTGAACTAATGACTTTTGGGTTAGGTGTTTTTGGGTAAAGTTTGGATAGAAGGGGTAGGTTAATTTGATTGTGAAATACATTGATTTGAATAGATTTCCCCAAAAATCTGCTATCCCTTCTTAACCCTCTCCCCACTATCCACGGCCGCCATGAGTACTTCCATTCCGGAGTATGATTTGATTTCTAGAGAGAGAAGCGCTTTCTTCTAGAGAGAGAAAGCATGGACCCGCATAGCTTCATAGCTCGGGCGGAGGCGCAACGGTGGCTYGGTATCGCCGAGAAGYTGCTCATGRGMCACGACCTTGTSGGCTCCAAGACATTTGCGATCCGAGCTAGAGATTCCGACCCCAGACTTGAAGCTGCTGACCAGATCCTAGCAATTGCAGATACGCTCCTCGCCGCCGAGAAACGGGTCGTGGGAAACAACGGAGCTCAGCAGCCGGATTTCTACGCGATCCTCCAGCTCGTCCGGTTTGTTCAGGACACGGAGCACATCGCATCGCAGTACCGGCGTTTGGCTGTCATGCTAAACCCTCATCAAAACAGGTTCCCTTATTCCGATCAAGCATTTCAGCTAGTCAATGATGCTTGGGCAGTGTTGTCGAACCCTTTGCGTAAATCTATGTATGATTCGGAGCTTGATTTTCCGCCGCAGCAGCAGATGAACTCTATAGGGTTTAACCTCGAACAACAACAGCACCACCACCACCAGCAGCATCACCATCAGCAGCAGCAGCAACACAATTTCTTCTCGATTAATCATATGGGTTCCGGTCATGAGCAGGAATTACCCGAACCACCGCAGACATTTCAATCTAGGGTACAGCATAGTCATCAACAGCAGCAATTACAACAACACAATTTTCTATCACAACCGAATCCGGTTAGGCCGCTACCTGTTCGTGAGCAGGAGCAACTGTTTCAACATCGTGAGCAGGAGCAACTGTTCCAGCCGCAGGTACAACCATTTCAGGTTACGTCTGCACCACAGCAACAAACTCGACCATCAGCACAACCTCCACAGCCGCAGCTACCTATGCGACAGCCGACTCCTCCACCACAACCTCCTCAACCGCAGCCATCTATACAATCACCGACTCCACCTCCTCCTGCAGCACCACCACAACCCCCATTTTCTTGGCCGCAAGCACCACCCCTGTCACAGTCTCAGCAGTCACAGCCACAGCCACAGCCACAGACACAGCCACAACAACAGCATTTGCAGCCCCAGCCCCTTTCCCAGCCCAAGCCCCAGCCCCTTTCCCAACCCAAGCCCCAACCCCAGCCCCAACCACAACCCCAACCCCAGCCCCAGTCCCATTCCCAACCTAAGCCTCAGCCCCAATCCCAACCTCAGTCCCAACCCCAAACTCATTCCCAGCCCCAGCCCCAGCCCCAGCCCCAGTCCCAGTCACAGCCACAGCTGCAGCAGGAACAAGAGCAACAAGAATCTCTAGAACAGAATGCGGCCCCTGTCCAGCTTCCTAGTGAGGATAATGATAACAATGGTGTAAGGGATGAAGAAGTAGAAAGAGAAGCTGAGGCAGCTGCTGAGGACGTTGATGATGGCTCTCCTACGTTTTGGACTACTTGTCCTTACTGTTTCTACATGTACGAGTATCCCAAGGTTTATGCTGACTGCACCCTCCGCTGTGACAACTGTAAAAGGGCGTTTCAGGCTGTGCGTATTCCCTCCCCGCCACCTATAATTGAAGGCCAGGAGGCCTATTTCTCTTGCTGGGGATTCTTCCCATTAGGGGTTTCCATGTCACATCTAGAGAAAAACAATGGTAGGGGTACGAGCTCAAAGTGGACACCTTTTTCATCTCTTTATGAGACCTCAAGTAATGTTCAGGACCATTTAAATGGTAGAGCGGCCCCGAAGGAGAATCTTTTTGTTAAAAAAAGTTCGGGGCCGCGTATCTACTTTGATGATATTACTGATGATGTGTTCATGGGAATCTCTGAACCTAGTGATGATTCTGATGCTGATTGGGATAGTACCAGGGAAGAGAAGGTGAAGAGGATGAAGAAAGCTCTGGAACCAGGTTTTAAAATGAGAGCACAAGTTCTAGCTGTTAGGGCGAGGGATGCCAGAAATGGGAGTGTTGGGAATCTGGAAGATGCTATTCCAGTGCAAGAGGTTGTGGGGGTGGCTACTGTGCCAGTGGCAGAGAGTAGCAAGAAAGCTGTGGGTAATAATCCAAGAAGGCAATCAGGTTGGGTTGCAAAAGAATTGGGGAAGTTGGATTTGAATGTGGAATTCAATAATAACGAAGGGGAAGAACCTGCTCCACGGATGACTGTTGGAAATAGAGGGCATGGGCAGGGAGAGGAAGACAACATTGAAGGGATTGGGTTCTTTGAAGGACTTGATGAGTTTCTTAGCAGCTTGCCAATACTATCTGTTGTGAATGAAGAAAAGGTTAAGGCTGCTTAATGATGTAGTAAGACTCCTTTCTTGTTGTAGCTGTAGTTTGTAGTCGTTCTCTTAGTATCCTCAAATAATGAACGATGTAGTGCAGTCGGGTAGTTGTTTTATTGTCATTGCTACAGTCAAGTTGTGTTGTATATCTGGCTGCAAAAACGTGTTTTACAGTCTCTTATTTTGCAGCCTCTTTGCTGTTTTAACGGAGTCAGGAATCCTATCTTTTCATTAGCTTTACCTGCTTCATTTATGTAAACATCCAACTATCATATGAAGTTGGATGCAGAAGTTGAAGCGACTTTTGTGGTCCAAATCTATTGCTGGTGATTGTGTCATCTGTTATTTCTTGGAAGTTGGAGCGGCTTTTGAGTTTAACCTTCTAATGCTTTCATATTTGTCAAGTTGTTACTCCATAATCATTAGGTTAGGTTGATGTCAGCCATTGTCTATGAAGATCTGGAGCAACTGGTGGATGCCTTTCTGTGTTTGTTGAGTTATCTTTGCCTTAATGAACTTCCATGCTGGGTCTAGAAAGATCATCTTTAACTATGGCTGCTGCATTTCCATGTCTCGAACCAGAGGAATGTATTAGCGTTTTGCGGCATTTCTTTCAATTATTATCTAGTACTGAACTTTTGCTTGTTATGATCGTTCATGTTAGTTATAACTATTAGATTGATCTTCTTTTAAGTTGATATATTTACACATTCTCTTTATTTCGTGCTTGAGGCCTGTTTCTCAAATCAAACCTGTTTGCACTTCGGAATCACAACTCACCTTTGTATTCTTCGTAAATTGCAATATGTGGAGCTGTGCTTGAAGGTTGGTCTCTTAGACTGTTACAACTGTGTTATAATCATGCCCTTTTGTCAAGGATAGAATTGAATACAGTTTTGAGTATAAGATCACTTAGCATTCTAAGTCTGCACATATGCTTTAGTTTACATAGGTTATTATGGATCATGTGGGCTACAAATCTCTTGTATTCTTCTATCCAAATGTGTTGTCATGTTACTATTTATTGATAAATGTATATCAGTATTTTACTGCACTTATATCATATTCAGGTCATTATATCCTATTTTGTAGTGTTTTGTTGAATTCCAGTCTTCTTTCTTTAGTTTTTGCAACCAGAATCTGGATTGGAGCTCCTGGATTCTTTTTCTGTCTAGATCTATGGTTTTTGGGTAGGCTCACAAATCACAAACAGAAATGTATATCAGTATTTTACTGCACTTATCTTATTGTATGTTTAGCATCTTGTTTGGTTGGTTGACTTTGACTGCTGCATCATTAATTTGGTTGCTGATTTCCTGTTAACCTTTTCAATGCTCATTGCATTTATCTCATTGATTTTCAGTGTGTTTAACTGGTTCTTCTTTTATGTTTAAATGTACAAGTAAAAACTCTTGAGTTTTCGGAATGTGTTGTACTAATCTTCGTTGGCCGTATTCAAGATGTGGTATTCTGTTGTGAAAATGACTTGGTTAATCTAAGGTATATGAAAGTGAAGAATCCGATCATGAAGAATTTGAGGAAGTAGAACTCATGGCATAATTATGAGTGAATGTTTTGAGAACATATTGGTCCCTTGTCCCCCTGAAAGATAAAAGATGCTAAAATATGGAGTTGCTTTCCAGAACAATAGTTATACGCTCATGAAGTGATTGTTGATAAGATAATTGGGAATTTGTGATCTCAACTAGTTCTTGGAGAATGATATGAACTCCAGCACTAACGGATTTAAGTTTGATTACGAATCCTGATGCTTGTTTTATAATTAAACAACTGCTAAATTCCCGATATCACAGAGCTGGAAAAAATGTCCAATATGGAATGGCAAGACGATAGGGGCCTTGGCGTGGAGGACCAGGCCCTATTGTTCCTGGAGACCCATGATCGGGCGAACAGAGGGTCTCGTGCTTAAAGGCACATCACTTTTGCTACAGGACTCTGTTTCAGGCCCATAATGCGCCGATTTCAAGCTTGGCTCGTATAGTTGGCCATCAATTCTTTTCAAGTCCATTTCATTTTGGTCTTCTTGTTTATATGTTGAATATGTAATCTAGAATTCTAGATGGTTACAAATTGAATGGAGAGACTTTTATTTTTCCATCCAAATTCTCAGTTCATTGTGAATTCATGTTTGAGCTTAAAGCTTGGTATTTGTTGAATCAACGGGCTTTAGAAGAGGTTATTCCTGGGAATTCTTAAGAGTCAACAGGTTTAATCTTTGTTTTAATTTCTATAAGYTGGCTCGCTGTCCCACCGACGAACCAGTCTAGAAGTCGAAAGGGAAGGCAATAGAAAGGGGTCTCCTGCATCACAGGATCATGATTGATCCTTGAGATTCGTTGAATTTTCAAGGGAATATGCTAAAGCAAGTTACCTTTATATTATATGATGCCCGTTGAGACTGCTGATCTCACATGGAGAATATACATTCAATAAACGTATATTATCCTGCCTCTCAGGTTTGGTCTTATTTGAAAGGTGTTCTTAATGCTAGTTTTGTTCAAGATAGCACCGGGATCATGCCTGGCGCAAGATTTCCTTTTTTTTTAATGCAGGTTAAAAAGATTGTTGCATACCAGCGTACTCTAGGGCATGAACAACTCCATCCCCAGCTCCTACCATTGAAACAACTAGGGGCTAGTAAAAGGACTGCTACCATAACTGCTAACAAAGGGAAGGCAAACGACCTAATGAACCCAACTACGGCAGGGAAGCCTTTATTCGAGATATACTTGCTTAAATGGTTCAGTGATGGAAGAAACATTGAACGATCTTTTAAAACATTTTGATCACTAATAAACCTAATAGTGTTAAGAGGGGGGTTGCCTGATTCCTTATGACCTACACATACTAGTACAGTATACCGGGGTACCTGGCCTGAACTATAAAGTAAGGGGTGGCCCCAAAGCGGAATTGACCGGTGGTGATTGGTCTAGTCGGCGGAAAAGGGGGGAAAGCTCTCCGTTCCTCGTTCTCGTGTAGGTGGTTGCCAATATCAGGGAAAGAATAGCTTCCGAAGGGCGTCCTTCTTTATCTAAGCGACTAATAGGCTTGGGTGGCTAGGGCATAGAGTGACATTTGCCTTACCCCCATGATCCCTCTACCCGAGGGATCTACTTAACTTAAGAATCCAAAGGTGACTTCTCTTCTAACTAGCTTGCTACCCCATGTACGGAAGATTCCTTCGAAATTAAAGTATTAATGGAGAAAATTTGGAAGTGGCTGCTTGACACTGTGGTTCTTTTCCACCCGATTGGGTTTACATGATCAAGCTTGCCTTCATGCTCTTCAGGTTCCTATTATTTCCCCTAAACCTAAGAGGGGATGTAGGGTTAGCATCCACCTGATATTGGTCCAGTTTCGATCACGAACTACAACATAGGCGGGAAAAGAGATCTGCCTGCAAGTGGCTTCAAACACTCGCTAAGCCCCTATTGAATAGGGCGTGTAAGTCAACTATCTATCTCAACAGGTGAGGAAGGAAAAAGCTCGCTTTAATTCAGTTCCACCAAAAACTCTCATTTGTTGAAGCGGAGCATAGTGCGCTTTAGGCGAGGCAAGACAAGCAGCCCGCTTCGCTTCCTCAATTGCTCAAGGAACAAGATGATACCAAATATCTACTCGTGGAGGGAGGGGAGGCAATAGATTCATCTTTCAATTATTCTGTAAATTACCAATTGACTTCAAGTTGTAACCCAAAAATTTAGTGTGTTATATAGCAACTAGATCACTTGCATTGTGCCACTAACAGTAGATGCATCCATGTGTAAGTCTTGGTGAAGCTGCATGTTAGAGGGCTGGTGGCTCGATTGTCTTTTTGGGTTCTTTTAAGTTTTGTTTCCCTTTCCTCTTTGCATGTACATTTTGAACATAAACATAATCTAACTTCTAGAACTTGTGGAGTTATTGGTAGTAGTTACATTGATGTAGTCATTTCTATGCTACTGCCCTCTCTGTGGACGCATGCTGGAGCTGCGGCTGGCAACCCAAGATTGAAGAATCTCACAAACAACCTTAAGAACCATGGTAATCTATCTCTTGTGCGTGTATCCCCCTGGCCCAGTGGTAGTTTAAGTTGTCAATAACTTAGGAAGAAAACCGGAAACTCTACATACTTCTTGTACCTGTTACCAAGAAAACCATCAAATGTGATGCCATGGCCCAAAAGATGAAGCACTGATAGATAGTTCGCTCATCTTTCCCATTTTGGTTCTTTCTCACGGACCTCTATGTATGAGTATGACTATGAATGTGTGCGTGTGTGTGTGTATATATATATATATATATTCTGATATTCATGTCTGTATGCTCTCTAGGACTTTCTTCGCCTCGACTTTCATGCTTTTTTGTCTTCTATTTCTGTTGGTTTCCATGTGCATTGTTTAATAGTGCAGGCCTTCCTTTTTCTTGATCACATCATCATGTTTTGCTGCTGTGCAAGTAAGGATCATTAGTTATATAATTTGTTTTCAAAATGACTTCTTTATTTTTCAAAGTACTGGTTGAGTCATGTGATTGACTCTGGAGTCTGGTCTGAGAATCTGTAGATATTGAAGAGGATGTACTATTGCCAATTAAATTGTGAAGGAAGAGGTAATCTTCAGTAGAATGTCATTTGGTTTATTTCAGCTTTCAGTGGATATTTCATTATAGGAGCATCTCTTACAGCAATGTCTGGGTGAAAGGATACATATCTTGCTGTTTATGCACATATATGAATCCAAGGTGAACTCAGTAAATACTTTATAAGGTATGTCTGGTGTACCTCTTGTTCTACAGAATTACTAGTTTCACTACATACTGCTCCCCGACTTCCCACAAGATGTAAATTTCTTGTCAAATGTGTGTAATTTTCTCATCAAAATGATGACAGGTTTGACTTGCGTGATTCTCCTGTGGGAAAAACTTTTAAGACGTTGATATCATGTTTTGTTATATTAGACTTTTCTTTGGTTTTGCTACCATTTAGCTGCTGGATGCATATATTTAGCAACTCTGATTTTGATTTTGATTCTTTGTTTAGTGAATAGTCATCGGATTCGGCTGTTGGTAGTCTGATCTGCGACCCTGCTACTCCTGGCATTGATGGTGCTTCTTAGGTACGCAAATCCTAGCCATGATAAAAATATCGGTGGGTACCTAAATGACCTTACAGATCACAAAACAGCTTGTAAACATCATTAGACAAGTGGAGTTGGATTTGTGACACTGCCTTAAAATCCCAATAAAGACTCCTCTAAATGCATTTGAACCAACAGATCTCCAAATCCCTCATATATTTACTTAAAGAAACGAGTTAGGGTTGAACCTCAAGAGTTTTCATATGTTTCTTATTGATACACAAAACACAATAGCATAATTAT